TTTACATCGGTAAGAGAAATGTCTTTATCACAAAAAATCGATCGAAACTGCTGGGACATTAAACGATATTTTATTTGGAAATATGAAGCATATGGATGAATAAGTTGACAGTGCAGCAAGCAGAAGAAAATTAGAAAATAGAAGAAACATTACTCCAGAAATCAAGGTCTCGCTCTAAGAGGACATAAGGATTCGGGAATAATTGCTGAACAGCCAGGTGAAGAGAACGACGGAAATTTTCGGGCATTGCTTCGTTTCCGGAGTAAGAACGATTCGACTCTTAAGAACATTTTAGAGTCAAGCAGAAAAAATGCTCAGTATACTAGCCCTCGATTTCAGAACAAAGTTATTGAGGTTTGCAATATTTTAATCCTGCAAAAACAAGTCAGCAAGATTAATGATGCATCCTGCTTTTCCATTCTTGCAGATAAAGACAACTGATATTGTAAGTATAGAGCAATTATCGTTATGCGTTCGATATGTCGATAAAGAAAATTTTAACATCACCGAACAGTTTTTGCAATTCATTCCGGTGCATGACTTAATCGGAAAAGCAATAGCAACAACAGTATTAGACCAATTACAGCTTATGAAAGTTGATATAAAAAAACTACGTGGACAGGGGTACGATGGTGCTGCATCAATGAGTGGAAAAATTAATGGTGTACAAGCCCACGTAAGAAATATTGTCCCATCAGCACTCTATGTACATTGCTCTGCTCATAGCCTCAATTTGGCTGTATCAAATGCATGCGAAATAACTGGCGATAGAAATTGCTTAGTGACAATTAAAACATTATACGACTTTTTAAATACGCCAAAAAGACAGTATGTCCTATCCTCAGCAATAGAGGAGATGGGAACCAGCTCTATGAGGGAGAAAATTAAACAGCTATGTGCAACCCGTTGGATGGAAAGATACGACTCAGTGACCGCTGTGGTGGAACTTTTCGAGCCTATCGCCAAAACACTACAAAAAATATCAGAATGGAAGGATAAGGAATCAGCTACCCAGGCTAATTCTTTACTGTGCACAGTATCTAATTGCCAGTTCGTAATATCTCTTTTGCGCATTTACAAAGTTTTCACCATAACAATCCATCTCTGTAGATACATACAAAAAACAAGCATAGATTTGATAGTGGCAGTGAGTCTTGCAGAAGATGTCATTAAAGATCTAAAATTAATGCGTGAAAATGCCACTGAAACATTCTCTGAAATATTCAGCTCTTCTTCTCTTATGCTAGCAAGCACTGGATCTTCCACTTCCATGAAAATCCCTAGAATAACGGGAAGACAGAAAAATCGTGATAATTTTCCCTCATCGACACTCGAAACATATTTCAGAGTTAGTGTTTTTATTCCAGTTATAGAAAATTTTATAACACAATTAGACTTAAGATTTGTATCGCATCGTGACATTTTGAAAGGATTTCAGTGTCTTCTACCTGCCGATCCTTTCACTTGCCAACCTTCAAACATAAAGGCTTTTGAAGCATTAGTGGAATTTTACGCTCCAAATTTGGATACCTGTAAAGAAAGCCTTAAGTCTGAACTAAAACTCTGGTATAAAAGATTAAAAAGGATTAGTGAAGACGGAGGTAGTGTTCCAAAAACTGCGGCGGATGCTCTTGGAATGTGCAATAAAGATATAACACCAAACATTTTCAAACTCCTAGAAATATTGGTCGTTCTACCTGTTTCAACGAGTGCAGACGAAAGATCCTTTCGACTTTACGTCGTTTGAAGACTTATTTACGCAACTCAACGGGAAATAATAGAATGAATGGATTGGCGCTCTTAAGCATTGATAGAGAATTTACCCCAGCTGTAGAAGACATTTTAAACGAACTTGCAAAAAAAAAAAAAAAAAAAAAAACAAAAAAANGATATTACAGTATAAATCAATAAATTTTTAGCGTGTTTGTATACTGGTTTAATTCCCTATTTGTTGGTAAGTTATTTTTCGGTTAAATTTATTGGTTTTCTATGGAATATTCACATTTATACGGTTATTATTTAGGTAGCTGTTACAGTATGAGTAGTTTTTTCTAGCTTAATTTATTCCTACTTTTTAATAAAAATAAAATATTTTTCCTCTTATTATAAAAAAAATTATATTCTTAAACTTAAAAAATAAAAACAAAATTTAACTAAACAATGTTGTCGAAATAAAAAGTCAAAATTGTCTAGCTGTCTAAATTAGGGAAGTAATAGTG